GTTGGAGCAACTGGCATTACTGCTCGTCGCAGATTTGTACGAGCACAAGCATGCATGTCCCCCACAAATGTCGTGCTAGGCCGTGATCAGGAACCTTGCCATCCCACCGCAACACGAAGCCTTCCTTCGTGATGGGGCACAAAACACTCGCGCGTTCTTCCACCCCACCTTCCACGCCCTCCACTTTGCACCGCGGTCGTGCTGTCGTTGAACTTGGCCATATCAGATGTGGCATCATCCAATCAGAAGCGCGTAATCCTCGCAGTAAAAAACCGCGCCATCATTTGATGCGGTCACATCAACACAAAATACCCGCCGAGGATTTCGCGAAGGGTTTTGTATTGCTCGACTCCTGGTCCATTCCGGTCATGAGCAGGGACTCAAATGCCGTGCATTGGCGCGATGTGTGCTTGCTTTGTGTACGCCATGGCTGTGTCGACGCGTTGATTGCGAGAATAGGTCGGGGTGGGACCGACCGATTTTGTCAATTGGACAAAACACGCCCCAGCTATATTGACCAGGAATCGTCTCAGGACACGACGGTGCAGCTTACACGTGGCGGGGAATCCACCGACGAGCTCGAGCTGGCATTGCCTGGACGGCATACGGGGGGTCGGTCGTTTGAGATTGCCGCCTGTCGAGATGTCTGTCGGAAGAATTGGTTGTGGGTCGCGTAAGCCCGAGTACTCGAGGCATTTGGGTGGCTCGGAGGGTTAGCGCCGAGTATTTCGTGCCCTTCCGAATTCTTCTCTCAACGCAGGAGCCGTAGGGGATTGCAAGAGACGTAGGCAAGAACGGTATTTGGAACCAAGGCAATGTTCGTGCCGGTTGATAGAGGGCTGGGGTGCACATCACGCTGTCTTATCAAGGCTTAAGCTTCACAGATCCGGCAATTTGCAGGTTTGAAGGACGATTCCGGCACTCGCTCACGGCGTTCCCAACGCTTTCAGGTATGTGCATTGATACGAACGATCCTCGCGAACGCATGCACACCAACGTGTGCGATGATTTCTTGGTTTCAGGACCAGGTAAGTCCCCACTCGGCCCAAGCCACACGACGGAGGTATGCCGCCCAAATGCTATTGTGCCCCATGTATCGGCATCAGTTGCCCCTTTCGCGAATCTCCCTTCCTCCTTGACGTCTGCGATTGTTTCGTTTGGCAGGATAAGTCAGAATTCAAGCTCGCATTTCTGCACGAGGAGTCACCGCCGAACTATTGCGTCTTGCACAAGGAATTCCCTGCACCACAAGAAATGTACATGTTCGAATCGACGCATGGAACGCATCGTGCTGTCCCTCGGAGGGGGGAGCACGATTGTGGCCGAGCCACACACTTTCTTGTTCGTACGTAGGTTAGGCAAAGTGGCATTTTCATGGACGGAGCGAATCGAGTGCGCGTCAGTGCGATGTGCAAAAATGGATGATGTGGACACAATGCCACCGTTGGCATGAAGTTGCGTGCACTAACTCGACACCAAGCACAGGACATTCGTATACACCACACGGAGGCGGCCATCACGAGATCTATCCAAAGTGATGTTGCTCATTTCTACGGTGACGACTTGCATGCCCCAATTCGTTTTCGCTCGTGCCAGAGGTCCGAGCACGGTGGACGACAAATCGTCGGGAACGTACCAGGACGACGTCGTGCGTTCGCGCGATGGCGGCGTGGGTGGGCATGACAAATCATGATTTCAGTCGTTTTGTCATCTCTGGGGATTCAAGTGTTTGAGTCAGTGCAATCGCAAGCATGACGAGCAGGGAAGGCGCGTCTTACTCGGGCCTACCGCATGTGCAAACGTGCGGCTGCGCGGAATCACGCGAAAAATGCACGGGGCGTGTACAGGCTCGTTTCGCGCCAGGGGCACTGGGTACGAGGCCATTTCTTGACGCATCGTCGACGTACGAAGGTCCACATTGACGGTAACGATGCGCCTGTAGCGTACCCAGAGATTGGGACGGCGACTGACCAATACGATGGGGATGTCGCTGTAGGGCGTTGCTTGTTTAAACGAGCCCAACGACGTTTGTATTCGTCGGCCCAACCGTGCGCAGCGATCGAAGCAAAAGCATGTCAACGTCATATTTTCTCGAGAATATGCAACCGCATCGAAACACGACAGGGCTGAGCCATAGCATGCACCGATACGCGCTTGCACGAACGATCAAATTCGTCGCGGCCACCAGCTCTCACGCGAGCGCCTCCGTGCTCGCCAACGCAAACGTGTCAAAGATATCATGTTGATCTTGGGTGACAAGACTATCCCGACGGTGCAGTAGTGTACCCGACCGCAATTCGCGCGATCGTGGTGAGTTCGTACCGATGCAGCACATCCATCCTTTGTGCTGCTGTCATGTTCCACGTATTTTGCTCGACGACGTTGTGCGCGACCTGGACTTCCACTTGGCCGTGCAATCGGCTCGACGCCTCGGCTTGAAACACGAGGCGGATTCCATAGCACGTTCGGTGCTTGGTGTGTTCGAGCGGCCAGCAAAACAGGTCGAGCCGAACTTGATTTGTTTGTGGCCGCGACCCCACATAGTCTCCGTACATCAGATCGGCACATGTGGACATGGTGGATTCGCCGTTGGGAAAGACTTGGAGCACGCGGGCAGTGTTGTCCAGGATAAATTCCGACCAGATCGTGGAAAACAGCGCGAGCTCGGACCGCACCTAGAGCCACGAGAACGTCATGCGATCACGTCACCGACGGCGAGAGCATACAAAGAGAGATGTTGACGAGAGAACGATGGAAAGCCCGAGCCCCATGCTCAGACTCCGTGCCACAGTTAAAAGACTAGCCGTCCATCCTGTCGATGTGATGTGAAATGCCGAGGCATCGAAGCGCCACGTGCCATCGAGCTCTGCCGAAGGCGAGAGCGGCTTTGGCGCTGCATAATCCAGAGCCTACATGGCAAGAACAAACATGATGCTTTACGGGTGGACAGGTGGACCGACGGGCGGTCATGTACCAAGTATACTTCTCGCAGCTGTGCAACAAAGGCTTCGAATCCATTGGAGGAGATGGTGGCTGCAGCCTCTGGCGAGGCGTGTGATGGAGTCGGTGCTGCTGCTGCTGCCGCCGCGAGGGATTCGAAGAAGTCGGCAACACTCGTCTGCGTGTCAGCCACGACGGCGCACACGTTGGCGTATACTTGAGCAATCCACTGCTCGTACAATCGAAACAATTCGTCCTGGTCCAAGATTGAATGTGCATGGCGCCGTAGAAACTCCTCCGATGTAGCTCGGCCACGCAGCAACGCCAACAATATTCTCGTGTTCATGTCGGGGGGCTGCGGCAATGACTGAGCGTTCGAGATTCCACAAGCTCGACAACGTTGCAGACCGAATTGAATCAACGCGGCATCGGTGGTCACGTTGATCGTGCAATTTGTCAAGGCAGCGTACAGCAGCCCGAGGTGGCGCTCCATGACGGCTGGATCGGACGCATCGCCCATGGTGGCCACCCTCGGCGAGGCAGCATCCAAGTCGGGCAATATCGTCATCCGTGTCGCCCCCGTCGAAATGATTTCGTCCAAGTGGCTGTCGCTGAGCCGATACATGCCTTCACATTCGCACGCTTCCCGACTCGTTGCAGACAAGACCGGGTCCGCCGTCGACTTTTTCTGGCACGACTTGCATGCCCGACGGTACGACATGACGACAAACGGAGGCGACTGGACGATTGCAATGACTCGGAGGTGGGACGGACCGGTCGCGCGCTGTACGCGAGTCAGCACGTACGCCTGCACGACAGGTCCAAGGTAAGAAGCCAGGGTGTCTCGAACGACCGTCACCTTGATGCAGTGCCAGCAGCGCCGCTGTTGCGTCGAGGACCCGCCAAGCCACCTGTAGTTCCACCCGCTTTCGGCCTCGGCATTGTACTCGTACACGACGTGATCGTCCTATGGTCAAGTCATCGACAACGAACGAGTCCCCGACGAGATCGAGACCTCAACCGCGACCACTTGAGTCGGGATCCACTCGCCACGGGGATTGGTTTCTGTGCGCAAGGCGATCTCGATCGCGTGTTCGTCCATGAGATCGCCGCACACAATCGGACGTTCGTACGACGCTTCAAAATGCAACAGGACGATGCAGTGCTGCAGGAAATCGACCGACCCCGCCACACGCACGCCAAGCGACGACACGCAAAACGGCGACTCGGTGTGTTGTGGACAGCAGTGCGGGAAGCACCGGAGGACCTACAACACGACGTTGCCATCGAGTCAACCCGTGCAGGTCGCACCTTGGAGCCATTCGTACGGTGGGGCCTGTGGCGCACCGTGGATGAGTGGACTGCACATCGCATGGGTGAACAGTACGTGATTACCTCAGGTACTTCTTGGTGAAGAGCGGGCACTTGCACTCACACAGGCGCTTGATGAACGCGACGCTCGCCACTGCCGGTCCATCGTCGGTGGTCATGTTTGAATCAAGTGCCGGTTTTGGCACTTGATTGTGGAACATCCGTCGAAATATCTCACCTTTCTTGTAGGCGATACAACGTGCCACGTACTTCTCGGCTTATCTAGAACGTACGTTTGCAACGAGCCCAAGGACCAGAGTCCGCGGGACGATGTGGCATGACACGCCCGAGGTCCTTGCCTTGTTCGAAGCGGGTTGACTGGGTATCGGCCTCCACCGCCCTGATCGGGTATGTCGTTGTTCGAACGCAGCAGCCGTGGTCGCCCTCAAAAAGTCGGCGCAATGAACACGCATGCGCTTCTCGGATGCGTTGTACAGGTTCGCCAAGCCATGGCTTGGACACCCATCGGACGTCATGATCGAGATGGACCGTGAACGATAGAGGGTATGTCGAAATGGAGAAGTGCCACGACTTGAACCAAATTCACGTCGGAATGCTTCGGTTGGCATCATACATACGAGAGTTCTGGGCGAGGCACGTTTACACGGAAGAGCCTTGTACAGTGTACCACTCCTCAAGTCAAGGGGGTGGGGTGGGCGAGACAACATTTCATATCGACTGTGTCGCTGATTGAATTGAGCGAAAATGCTCCCCGCACAACGACTACAAATGTACCAGGTGCTTGTGGCCTGGATGGACAGAGAGAGCGCAACAGTGTGGCAAGTGGCCCACGATGCTCCATCAGTTGGACAGGGCGCGTAGTGCCCACCTTAGCGACGACAACCAACCAAGCGAAGATTATCAACGCCTTTGAGTAAAGTCAGAGCCCCCCGAACACTGGTTGCCTCTGCAAAACCATAATGTGTCGGGCTCTCCTCACGTACAGTGAACGGGAAAAAACTGGCAAGCGTTGTACTCGCGAGTATTTTGAAGTTTGTATTATCCTTTTGGTCAAAACTGGACCTGACTGGCGATTTGCGAAATCGATCGATCAATCCATGTATATTGGCTACAACTTGGCTCGGTGGCGACTAGTGACAACGTCAAATTTAATTGGACGATATTGCTGTTCTATCTTCTCGATGATTGGACGGAGTTGTCTGCCGATTCATCTGTCGATTTCCTTCTGTCGATTGATTCGGCACGTAGGTCCAGTTTTGAATCGACACGACAATATGAATCGAGTACAAGTACACCTACGGAAGGTGAGTTAAAAATATCAAGGATGATGGTACCCATCGCATTCTCACTTGAGGCCACTGATTGGCCAAGACAATTCAGAAAATATGCAATTTTTATTCTTGACCAGGGCAAGGATCGAACCCTCTGCCAATTGAAATGACCAGTACCCTCATTTTGCAAGCAACGACAGTCCGAGGATACCTCCGCGACATTTGGCGTGGTGATTAGGGTAAGCTAGCGAAAGGTTAGCTGACCTTGTCAAAGTAGCACATTGCGTGTGAGGGGTGAAGGATTAGCATGGGATCCCATGAGGATAGTGCGACACTATTTTTTGTTTAGAAACCGTGTGATGCCCATACATTCATCCATACATTATTATGCAAACATATATTGGCAAGCCAGTTCCGCATCACAACTGGAAAATGCGAGGAATTGCCTTCTCGAACGATTTCTTCACCGTATCCACA